CCGACTTCTTCGGGTGTTTCCTTGAATAATATACAGATGGTAGGTCCCGTGGTACAGGACGACCTTTTGTCCATTCTTTTACGCTTTCGGCTACACAAATACGTTCTCACAGCTGATGTTGAGAAAATGTACCGGCAAATAGTCATTCATCCCGATGACCGCTATTTGCAACAAATTGTCTGGCGTGATAACCCTTCAGAACAGCTTCAAGCTTATCAACTTAACACCGTGACTTACGGCACCTCTAGTGCTCCCTTTTTGGCAACTAGGTGCCTCCAACAATTAGGCTTAGAGTGTACCGATGACAAGGTTGCTCAAGTGATCATTCACGATTTTTACGTTGATGACTTGCTAACGGGAGGAGATGATATTAACGAGGTTACAGATTTGCGCCGTAAAGTGACTTCCACACTTGCATCAGCTCATATGGTTTTGCGAAAGTGGAAGTCGAATGAATCTCAACTGGTTAGTGAAAATGATATTTCTCCGCTTGATTTGAATATTGGTGGCTTTGAACCGACTAAAACTTTAGGCCTTGGTTGGCAATCACATACTGACCAACTTTGTTTCCCTATAGGAGGGCTATTCTCAGGTAGAACAAAGCGTGATATGTTATCTGTGATTTCTCAGATTTTTGATCCACTAGGACTTCTATCTCCCTGTGTAATTAAGATGAAAATGCTTCTTCAACAGTTGTGGCTGCTCAAGCTGTCATGGGATGAGCAGTTGACGCCAGAAATCAGCAAGATGTGGGCTGAGATAATAGTCGATTTACCTAAATTAAATACTCTACGTATTCCACGTCGTGTTATTTGTGACTCGCCTAGTTGGTTTGAATTTCATATTTTCTCGGACGCTTCTGAGCGAGCATATGGCGCTTGTTTATATGTACGTAGTGTTAATGATCAGGGTGAGGTTTTAATTCAATTATTGATGGCGAAAAGTCGTGTCGCGCCGCTTAAACCTATAACAATCCCAAGACTGGAACTTTGTGGTGCACTTGTTGGAGCTCGCCTTTACCAAAAGGTTGTAGCATCGCTGAGACAACAGGCTAAGCGCACTTTCTTTTGGACAGATTCGTCCATCGTGTTAGGATGGTTAAAGGTGTTACCTAGCAAGCTACAACCCTTTGTCAGAAATAGGGTTGCTGAAATATTAGAGAAGACTGGAAATTGCGAGTGGAGGCATGTCCCAACAGAGTGTAATCCGGCCGATCGTATTTCTCGCGGTGTGAGTTGTAAGGATATTTCATCCATGAGTAAGTGGTGGTCAGGACCTGAATTTTTAAAGAAAGAGGTCTCTCACTGGCCTGCAAATTTCTTAAGTATTAATCACGAGTTGCCTGAGATTAAATCGTCAAATGTTATCCTCCACGGAATACTTCATTCTAGCAACAATGAAGATTTAGGTGGGAATAAATTAATTGAATTTAAACGCTTTTCTAAATATACTAGATTAAATCGGACCGTTGCTTATGTGCTGCGTTTTATTAATAATTGTAGAAAGCAATCCGTTCACGGTCCTCTAAGCAATCAAGAGTTGCAAACCGCACTCAATGTTATTATAAGAATATCCCAGAGTGAATCATTTGAGGAATACACCATGTTAATTAAAAATAAAAGTTTACCCACTAAAAGTCCGTTGCATAAATTTAATGTATTTCTCGATGATAATAAAATAATGCGTGTTGGAGGGCGTCTTGAAAATTCCGATTACTGTTATGAGAAAAAACATCCCATACTTATACAGTCCACTCATTATTTTACCAAATTGCTCTTCAATTATGAGCACATAAGGTTAATGCACGCGGGACCACAGCTAATGTTGGCCACTATAAGAGAGATGTACTGGCCGATTAGAGGTCGTAATTTGGCCAGATCTTGTTATCGACAATGTGTAAGATGTAATAGAATGAAAGGAAAAACCATCTCTCCAATAATGGGCAACCTACCACACCAACGCATCCTTTCTGGTTTTCCATTTCAAAATATTGGACTAGACTATGCGGGACCAATTCAATCTGTTTCTCGCCATGGCCGTGGTTGTAAAATTGTAAAGGTGTATATAGCTATTTTTATTTGCTTCGCGACTAAGTCAATTCATCTTGAATTAGTGGGTGATTTAACTAGCAATACCTTCATATTAGCTTTGCGCAGATTTATGTCTAGAAGAGGGAAACCTCTTAATATTTATTCGGATAATGGTACCTCCTTTGTAGGCGCATACAATGACATTTCAAAATTTATTAGGACGTATTGTAATTCTTTATCTGAGGTAATGGCAAATGAAGGAAAGGAATTAATTTCCATTTCATACCGCCTTATTCTCCCCATTTTGCTGGGCTTGCGGAGGCTGGTGTCAAATGCATTAAATATCATTTAGTTAGAGTGCTGGGCAATTGTAATGTGACTTACGAGGAACTAAATACCACATTAATACAAATTGAGGCTATACTTAACTCCAGACCACTCACACCTTTGTCAACGAATCCTGAAGACTTGCTACCACTAACGCCCGGTCATTTTTTGGTTGGACGCCCCTTGACTTCCTTGCCGACACCAGACTATAAAGATCATTCCGTAAGCTCTTTAACCCGATTTCAACGAATAGAACAATTACGTCAACATTTTTGGGCTAGATGGAGCAAGGAATATATATCAGAGCTTCAACTGCGGATGAAATGGCGTTCCTGTAAAGGCTCTTTGAAGTTAAATTCACTGGTACTCCTAAAAGAGGAGAATTCACCGCCATTAAAGTGGAAGATGGGTCGCATCGTCGCAGTCCATCCAGGCTCGGACGGCGTATCAAGGGTGGCGGATATCAAAACATCGACTGGTATAGTTCGCCGATCATTTAGCAAAATTTGTCCGCTTCCTGAACCTGAAGAATCTGGTTGAAAGGTAGACTTTCAACGCCGGGGGGCATGTTGAAGCGCCTGTCAAATTATATTAGCAGTTCTCATGCCAATATTAGTCCGTAAGCTGTGTAGGTATGTTTAAAAAATGTTGTACCTGTCGTCGTTGTAAAATTTAGAGATCAAGTAAAGGTCGGTTGAGCAAATTACAGCATTTTACTATTAAAAAGAGATCAATTTCCTATTCATTGAGTATGCCGAAACTGTAAGGGTTCCTTGTTGTGTAACTACGGAACCCCAAAAAACAGACCTTACTTTTTTCAAAGTAATAATACAAGTTGTACAACTTGAATTATTAATATAATTGTACAACTATTTATAAAAACAATTTTAGAAACAGCATGGCAACAAATACCTTTCAGTCTATTGTCAGGGGTTGTTATCAACGGTGCTTAGTTATTATAATGACCGTATTTATAGTCTTTGTTTAATAAAAAAAAATACACTTGTTGTTAGACAGACCTTGAATATTTTCTGGGACTTTGCAGTAGAAGCGTATATATTACACCATGAATAGAATATATTATAATTGATAGAATCAGGCGTTACATTGCGGAAGTTCATTATATTAAAGTTGGTAAAAAATTACTTCGCGTACATCCACTCGACAAAATAAAATGATGTGTCTTACTAAGTTTGAAGAGCACCTCCCGCCCTCCCTCAATTGCGTGCACTATCCCCGTCACCACTAATCCCAGCGCCACTACTCCCAACACCATTACACTATTGTAGTGGTAAGAATATATTATACTAAAATTGTACAAATGATAATTCGTTTTTAATAGCATACAAATAATCTCTTGGGATCGATAAAAGGCAGTTATTTCGATGTTACAGACAGACACTTCAATTTTATATTTATATTTTTTCAGTGGTAGAGCCACGCGGTAGCTTTTGCTGTCGCACGGATGGGCCGGCTCGAACCGGGGTGGTAGCACGACCTCACAGAAAACCAGCGTGAAGTAGAGGTTTACCTCTGCGTTTCGCTTGGTGAGTACAGGTGGCCGGAGGCCCTTTTTACTGGAAAGCAGCATCAGCAGCAGATCATCAGCAGAAAGCATTCCATCTTAGTCCTCACGGGTGACTACGCATCTACATTTTGATTTGTAATAGAGGATAGATGTAGATGTCTATGGGCCGCAGCAACCACTTACCATCAGGTGGACTGTGTGCTCGTTTGTCACCCTTATCCTATAAAAAAAATATGTTTAAATGGTCAAGGGTAAAAGTTAGAAGTTAGTTTACATAGACATCAGATCTATTTGATTAACAAAAAATATTTCTGTATTTTAAAATAAGTTATTCGAATAATTCATTTTAACTTAAACAAAAAACACATTTACCACTATTACATCGAACTGGTAATGAGGCATTCTGTCTTAATCCTCAGTATTAATTTGACGCCTCCGTGGCGCAGTGGCTTAGGAATGAGTTGCTTGCACTGGGGGGCGCGGGTTCGAATTCCGCACGGAACAAGTATTTGTATGGCCTACAAATAATTGTTCCGGGTCTTGATGTTTGTCCTTGTGCAATTTGTGTTTGTAAACTGCCTCCACGATACAGGAGAAAATCCTAGTGTGGGGGTAACGTTTTTTAAAAATAAATAAAAAAGGATTAATTTGAGGTCTTTGCCCATTCCTTTTTTGAAATTGGTTGCAGGTGTCCATGGGCTGCATAACCACGTACCATCGAGTGGATTGTAGCTCACTTATCAGTCGTATATTAAAAAAAAAACTTCAGCTTTATTTTATTAATACAATAACAGTGCAGTGGTTGGTGTAAGAATATCCAGTATCCCATGTCATTCCGTGGGTGTCGTAAAAACCGACAGAGCGAAACTGAACCAGAAGATGGGCAAATGGATAATGAAATAGGTACTGCGGTTGCAAGCGTAGGAACTATGGAAAATATCCCTCCTATGAAGCAATCTATGGGGCTCAGTGAACTTTTGGTAGGCTGTGATGGTTATCACACTCAATACATTGAAGATTTAATTCAAATACTCAAGTCTATTACAAAAGTTATGTAATGAGTGTTAGGTGTTTAAGGTTTAATGGTAAAACATTTATTTTTATTACATATTTACCTTCTTTCAGACCGAGGTCCAGACTGGTTACGTTCGGTAGAGGGCCTAGAGGTCCTGAAACAATAAAGACACTAAATAAATCATCTGACGATTAGAATACAATAAGGAAATATCAAGGATCAATAACATGATGTGAAATATGGGTAAATCAGGAATGTCTAGAACAGGTAAATGAAATTGTATACTTGGGGAGTGCTTTTAGCCGGGATGGAAGATGTGATTTAGATGTGGACAGGCGTGTCGCTGCCGGGAACAAAGTCAATGGTGCCCTGACTGCGTTAGTCAAAAGGCAAGGCGTAGCGAAGAGTGCACGCCTTGCAATACATAACGCAGTGTTGGTACCGACTTTGTTATATGGCAGCGAAACCTGGGTATGCCAGAAGAAGCATAAAAGTAAGTTGAATGCAGTGGAGATGCGATCTCTTCGTAAAATGTGCGGCGTTACCATGGCCGACCGAAAGCGAAACGAAGAGATTCGCAATATGGCAGGTTTGAAAGATGACCTTATCACAAAAATTGATAAGGGCGTGCTTCGGTGGTTTGGGCACGTTGAGCGAATGAGTGAAGACCGAATGGTGAAGAAAATATATAGCGCGAAAGTTAATATTAAAAGGTGTCGAGGTAGACCGAGACTAACTTTCGAAGACCATGTGAGCAAATTGCTCGAAGAGGGTAGGGTCAAAAGTACTCGGATACCTAGACGTGCATGCATGAAAAAGATAATGAATCTGAAAGAAGCGAAAGAGGTTTGTAAGGATCGTGACACTTGGCGATCTGTTCTCTCTGGCTACCCCGTCAGGGATTGTGCGTGAAGATAAGTAAGTAAGTAATAAGATGATGTGGCAATGGATCGGCAATATGGCTCTAAGAACCAACAACCGATAGGGAAGAAGAGTTCCTGAGAGGTAAAAAAATCAAAATAAAGTAACTAATTAACATAAAATTGTACGAATTATAATTATTAATAAAATAAAATATTTTACCTAAGCATATTAAACAAATTTATAAGACAGCATTAAATTTTTCAAGCTCTCTCTCAGCATCAAACTCTTGGTAGACAAACATAACAAAAAATATTGATTATTTATACATTTGTATAATATATGAAAAGAGTTTTCTACGAAGTTTTTTTTTTAATTTTATACAAAAGCAAAGATTCTAACCCTGAGTTTGAGTAGTCTGCAATTAAATATTAATAAAAAATTCTAAACTTGTAAGTACTTTTTCTTCCTTATTAAATTTTATGATTCAAACGTCTCCTTTTTTTAAAAAGAATGATAAATACTTAACGAGAGCTGAAAAATTACTTCTTTTAAGTTAAAAACGACCTTTATTTATAATCCTTAAGATATTTCCAAGCAATTTTTAACTCTCGCACAGGCTGAATGAAATTCTTTACCCCATCGAGCCGCCTAATTTCGCCTGCCTTTGTAAAGCCGAAACCCTCGACGAACAAAAGAATCTCGGCGTTGAATCGTTCCAGACTAATTGCCCACCCTCTTGACTTCGCTCCCCTTTTCCCAAGATGTAAACATTAAACGATTTGCAAAGCACGGAAGGCTTCCAACTGAAAGCTTCTAGCGGAAGTTACTTCTCGTTTTATACTTTTAAATTCAATTTTCACTTACTATATTGTGAAATTTGGAAAAGACGTTATCAATTAATTATAATTTATACTTACGATTGTTGTCACTTGGTGAAATCCGAGCTAGACCTGTGCTCAGCAGTGAAACGTGCTCGTATATAGACTTTAACTTACTTATAACTAGCAACCCGCCCCGGCTTCGCTTGGGTAAGATCTACTAATGTAGCGTAATTTTTATAGATTTTTCCATCCAAGTTCAGGGTAAAATGTAGCTTAGATCACGCCTGGTTTGTTCTCTATCGGTTTTAAAAGTTTTATCACAATTGATTCAGGCATTCCGAAGATTAACAAGAACAAACAGACGGACAGACAAAATTGTATAAATACAAATAACCTCTTGGGTTCGATAAAAGGCAGTTATTTCGACATTATAGACATACTCTTCAATTTTATTTATACGTAAACATACCCATGATCAAGGGTAAAAATTAAAAGTGTATTTATATTTACATCGTTAGATCTATTTGATTAACTTAAAAATATTTTTTCAAGTTATTCGAATAATTCAATTTTACCTAACCAAAAAAAGTCACATTTACCGGCATCACAAAGAACTGTCAGCTATGGATTACACTACGGCAAGATAAATTAGTACGTGGCAGGTAATGACCAGAAAGATAAATAACTTCCTTTCCTTTACCTTTTCAAATGAATAATTTACAGAACACATTATTTTTCGCAGATTGAGCCGCCTAAGAGCCTTATTAATATTTTTGTACGTATAAATGAGGACTAATAATTTTACACTCACTAGATGTCGCCAGTTGCGTGTGAGGTGAACTTATTTTTTTATACAATGTCAATAAAATGAGAAACTGCGTGTTCAATAAAAATTTACCCCTTTGTAGAGCGTGTAAATACACAAAACAATACCTCAGTGATTTGTCCTTTAATTTTTTGCATTTTTTTTTTACTTTTTTGTATTTTTTTCTTGTCATGTGTTAAGAACGTGTTTGGTTTATCCATTGTTAACTTAATTAATATAAAATAAAACTAATATTTCTGGAAAAAAACATTAACCACTAGCTGGTACCCGGTGCGTTGCTACCGCAGAAGAAATAATTGTGGAAATATTAGTTTTTGGAAGAGTTATATTGTTTAATAGGAGGAATGACAATAATTTAATTTCAAAATAATTAAATAATTAAATTTTAAATATATTTATCTGTACGATACGCGCACTACGTAATGTGAGTTAATGAGGGCATTCACGACTTTTTTCTGCCACCAGGGCGGCGCCACTAGAAAGTGAGGTATAATATTTGACAGATTTCATAGCGGGGAAGTTAGTTTATATATATATATATATACTTGAATATATATTTTAAAAACATTAAAAATAAATAAACCAAACGGATATTCATAATAGTAGAAAAAATTAAAAAAAAAGTTAAAAATGTGCAAAAAATTAAAGAGCAAACCACTGACGCATTGGTTTGTGTATTAATATAATAGTCTAGAAACTGATAAACTTTTATTAAAAACTAACTTTTCAAATAAATTACATTGTGTAACAAAAAACTTTACCTTGGTGTCAACTGGCGACATCTGGTGCGCGGAAAAATTATTGGTCCTCATTCTACTATGCCTATAAGTTGAGAAAGTTGTACCGCAATCTGGTGAACGGTATGGCAGCGCATAAAATACGAACAAACCAAACATTATTTTTTATATATGAGATTACATTTTTCAAACAAATTAATTAGCCTGCCTTGAAATCTGTCAAATATTTCACCTCATTGCGCACCTACATGGCGCAGCCCTTGTGGCAGAAAAAGTGGTGGATGCCCTCATCGATATTGTCCCGCTGGTGTTGTAAGAGGTGACAGAGGGTAACTAAAACAGAAGCTGGACCGCAGCATCTCCCGGTAACAACTCATATTAATAAAAAAACTGCGGTACCAACCCGCCTGCCAAACGTAGCAACTATGGTAAAATCCTCCTATGAAGCTATCTATGGGAGAGGCCTAAATTCAGCAGTAGACTTTTATAGGCTGTAATGGTAATCGTATTGGAGATGCTTTTCTATACCCTAGGTTTGGGTAAAAGATATCGATATATCGATATTTTCTTATAATATATCGATATTAACTGTCAATACTTTTAATCGCGAAACATCGATATTCGATATTTGTTTTAGAGTATCGAAATGTATCAATTTCGATATAATTTTAAAATGTTGTTTTACTAGACAAAACGTTAAGCAACAAAAGCATTCATGTGCTGTTATCGTTTTTTTCGTTTTTCGTCGTCCAACCGCCTAGTTATAAAATTTGGACCTTATCTTACTACATCATCCAAATACGACGATATATCGATGTATCGATATTTATCACGCGATATATATCGTTACTGTTTAAAAATATAGATATACTCACAGAATACCAGCGTTAAATAGCAGCTTAATACTGCTGTGTTTCGTATAGTGAGTGTAGAGAACCGGAGACCCTTTTTACTGGAAACGAGGCATTCCATCTTAGTCCTCACGGGTGACAACGTATCTGCATTTTGATTCGTAATCGAGAATAGATATATGTAGTTGTCTACGAGCCGCAGCAACATCTTACCAGCAGGTGGATTGTGTGCTCGTTTGTCTTCCTTATTCTATATTAAAAAAGCTCAGTGTATTAATATTCTAGTTTTTAGTATTTTAATCTGAGGACTATCACGATCGAAATCGTCTAGGTAGCTTCGTCAAACCTTTTTATACTGCCTGTTAACCATAACAGGTAATTATAAAATGTATTAGAAATGGCCTACCACAGAAGTGAAATAGCGAATTCGGACCCATTCAAACTTTTTGTTCTTTCAAGTATTTACGTTTAAAAGCCCACATGTTCACATGCAAGCTTGTACGCTCGGCTGACCTAATGTTACGTTGGCACATTCTTGCACTCAGTCTGCAGACAAAGATCACTTTATCTACCATTCGCAATTCCAATTCCAAAAAACTTGATGTTTTTTTTTAAGATAACAGAAAACCAAGATTGAAGATAATCAAAGTACATAACTTTGATTATCTTCAATCGAAATAACGCCGCATTAAATGATACCACCCAAGCAAAGCCGGCGCGAGCTCGCTAGTCTTTCAGGAAATTATTTGAAATGCAACAAAATAGAGTTGAATCGTCTGTTAGTAAACAGTGCCCTAAATAAGGACTCCCGTCTTCACTTATTATGGAATGAAACGCGAACAAATAACAAGGGTATTTATTCCTGCCCATTGTGCGCACCCGTCGCTACAGCCCTAAAGGCTTTGATTTATGCAGAGTGACTCTCCAAGTGCTTCGTCATAGACTGTACAGAATCGTAGAGATTCACAATCATTTTTCTTGTCTTTTGTAAGTCTTTCTTTTGAGGGAATAACTTTTGAATACTGAATGCACCGGTTTATATTTACTTACCTAAC